TCTGGATGCATTGAGCTTAAGGTCTTGATAGCATATACAGTCCAAGTAACATTTCTGTAGGATTCTCTTCATTGATGAAGAGTGATAGCAATGTTCCATGCCTCAGTGAGGAGTGGAGTTGGTGAGAGAATTTGAGAGAAAAGAGAGCCTGGTCATCTGGCTTCTACCTTTAAAGAGATTAGACACATAGATCCGGACTCTCTTCAAGTCCCTGAACGAAAAGAAAGGAAGAAGCCAACATGTAGAGGAGCTAGCACCTCAATTATGCTCTTATTCCAAGAGACTTTGGAGAATTTCTTCTTTAGGTAAGATCTGAAATTATTTGTTTAAGATGAAATATCTCACTCTTAATGGGAGAGTTCATTCTCCCTTGTTTATTGTCTAATATATAGTCTCCTATGTGTACTTTCTCTGAATTCCGTTTTGATACTGACTTGGATAAATGGATTTATTCCCTATTTTATATGTGTGTTCATTGTGAAACTGATATTTAGTGAGAAGGGAATCAAGCCTTGGATATATAGCTGGGGACACTCCTTCCTCACTAAGGGACTATAATCAGGAGTGCAGCTTGAATCTAAAAACGTATCTCTCTTAGACTAACGATATTTAAGGAAAAAGATAACTATAATCCTTTCTCTCTCTCTCTCTCTCTCTCTCTCTCTCTCTCTCTCTCTCTCTCTCTCTCTCTCTCTCTTTTCTCTCTCTCTGTCTCTGTCTCTCTCTGTCTCTGTCTCTCTCTCTCTGTCTCTCTCTCTCTCTCTCTCTCTCTCTCTCTCTCTCTCTCTCTCTCTCTCTCTCTCTCTCTCAGGAGAGGAGAATGTCTAAATTCTGATCCCAAGGAAAGAAGACGTAGAGAGTAGAAGAAATCTGAGGATGGAATCTTGAGGAGACAGTAGGAGGTGTTAGAGGAGGAGGAGGAAGAGAAGAAGAAGAAGAAGAAGAAGAAGAAGAAGAAGGAGAAGAAGAATCACAAAAGGAAACAGAAGTCTGAGATTACAATGAGATTATAATTTCATGGAAGGCAGGGGAGGACAGCGTCAATTTTCTAATTTTCTAATGTATATATGTGTATGCACATATATACACACATATACATATATCTATACATATATAGATGTGTGTATATATGTGTATACTCTATATAACTTTTTAATGTATTTAATATTGTTATATATTATTTATTTATATTTTATTATATATAATATATTTATATTTATTATATATTTAATATATTTCTCCCTTAATTAGATGGTAAAACAATTTTTTAACATTTGGGGTTTTTTTAAGTTTTGAGTTCCAAATTCTATCCCTCCCTTCCTCCTTCCTCTTCCCCCTCCCTGAGACAGTAAGCAGATATAGGTTATACATGTGCAATCATATAAACCATTTCCATATTAGTCATTTTGTACAAGAAGAAAAAGAATGAAAGAAAGTAAAAAATAGCGTACACCAGTCTGTATTCAAACAATATCAATTCTTTCTCTGGAGGCAGATAGCATGCTTTATCATTAGTTCTTAGGGACTTTCTTGGATCATTATATTGCTGAGAATAGCTGAGTCATTCACAGTTCTTCATCAAACAATAGGGAATAGGGAATTTTAATCCCTGTCCACCTGTATGACTATGGGTTACTCACTTAACTTCCCTAGACCCCAGCTTCATCTATAAAATGAAGGGGTTGAACTAAATAACCTCTAATGTCTCTTGCAGTTCTAACTGTATGATCCTAGCTCATTGGAACAGTGTCAAACGCTTCAGAAAGATCAAGAAGGATGAAGATTGATAAAGGGTCATTATTCTAATCTACCAAATGGATGATCATAACATCAGTGGTGGTCATCAAGAGGGTAGTTTTAGTTAAGTGCTCAAAGCCATGTTTTATAAGTTTGAAGCCTAAATGAAGAAGAAGTGGAATCAGTGAATGTCAACTTCTTTTTAGAAGTCTGACAGTGAAGAGGACAAGAGAGATGGAAGAACAGCTTGAAAGAAAGGAAACATTGAGGAAGGGGAAATGATTGTTTTGTTTTGTTTTGTTTTTTTAGGGTAGCAGAAGCTGGTCTTGTGTACGCATGTGAAAATGAGTAGAGGTTTAGTAAGAAAGGTTTTGAGGTATGGAGAATGGGAGTTAGGGAAGTCTAAGTCATATAACTTCAATATTCTTAGTAAAAGAAAGGCAAGGTCAAGGGCTGAGAAAGAACACCACATCAAGAGCACTGATTGGTTTGCAGTAAAATGTCCAGCTCCTAGATGAATGTAAGCTAAAATGGACATTGCCTGCTTGTGCTGAGAGCTTCTGAATAGCTTTGTGTTCCAAACTTACAGAATAACAAATGTGTTTTGGTCCCAAGATCTTGATGTTTCAATTTCTTCCATTAGAGCTAACAAATAATAGTACATATTATAGGACTGAATTTGCAGCCTTATAACTTGAATTACGGCAAAATACCAAGGACTACTTAGCACCAATAAATTAGTTACTTCCCAAGGATTCCTACCCAAGGGGCTGAACGCTAGAGCTAAGTATGTAAGTAAATCTCTAGAACAACCATATATTCAGTTGTTCCTTTTGAACAGAATCCTGGGTCTAGTCTTCATCTAAAAGCAATTACTTCCATTTTGAAAATAGTCAGGAAAACCTTCTCTCATTCACTTACATTCACAACATAAGGAAAGATAAAGTGATAAAGACTGGAGAAGTAAGCAAGACAACAGCAAGGAAAGTGTGTGTGTGTGTGTGTGTGTGTGTGTGTGTGTATGTGTGTATAGATGTAGGTGTATATGTATATATATATATATATATATATATATATGCATGTAGGTATGTATGTCTATACACACATACACATATATATGTATACATATATAGATATATGATAAAAGTGATATATATTTACCTAGTTTCTAGCAGAATTAGCATGTTTTAAAATTTCATGTATGGTTTATGAGGAATTCATGAGAGGCAGCTTGGAGTTGTAGACAGAAGGCCAAAGTATTGGAGTCAGAATGACCTGGGGTCAAGTCCTACCTCTGACAAAGACATGCTGTGTGATCATGGCTAAGTCGCTGAACTTTTCAGTGCCCTGGTCAACTCTCTAGCTTTATAAAGTGCAGAAAAGTTAGTGATATGCATCAGTGGAGGGAGATCCCATATCAGAAGGTTCTCACACTTATGAAGCTACTGTTTTGGATCAAAAAATAAATTAACAGGGAATCCACACCCAGGAGTTTCTACCAACCTTCATTTTTTCAAACGGTGTTTTGTTTTATTTATTGCACCTTCAATTCCATAAGTTTACCCCTCTTTACTGACTACATTGCCATCTTCCTGTATCAAAGAACGAGAGAGACAAAATAGCAAAGTCCAGAAAAACTAACCTGTGCATCAATCAAGTTTGATAGTATATTCAGTGTTCTATATTCGTAGCCCTCCATCTCTGAAAAGAAGGGAAGATGTTTCATTTTTCTTCTCTTTTTTTTTTTCTTTTTAAGGCAATTAGGGTTAAGTGACTTGCCCAGGGTCACATAGCTAGTAAGTGTCAAGTGTTTGGTCTGAGACCAGATTTGAACTCAGGTCCTCCTGACTTCAGGGCTGGTGCTCTATCCACTGCACCACCTAGCTGCCTCTCTTCTCTTCTTTATGCCCAAGCTTGGTCATCTTCATCACAGTTTGATGTTCTTTCCATTTACATTGCTGTAGTCATTGCATATATTGCTTTCCTGGTATTGCTTCTTTCACTTTGCATCAGTTCAAATAAGCCTTCTTATGCTCTTCCATTACATTCAGGTTCATCATTTCTATAGTATCCCTCTGGCTTCTGTCTATAGTATCCCTATAGTCCTAAGGCCAGTGAATATCTTTAAAGGCCAGCATCACCTCATGGACAGCATCACCTATAACTACTAGTTCTACTGTAATTAAACTATGTTCATGCTTTGTTAATGATGAGTAATAATCCTGAAAAAGTTTCAAATACGATTCCTTAATGAAGTGCACACCTGCAAAGGGTGAACTGAACTGCCTACATTCTAGAAAAGCACATCATTGACAGATTTTGTAAGTTTTAGCGTGTTAATATCTTAAGGGGAAGAGATTTATACCAGAAAATAGAGGATTCTACTCTTGATTTCATCTTATGTTTGCTGTCAGATTTTCAGCTGTAGCAAAGGAGGAAGTCATTTGTACTTGCCTTATGCACAAAAATGCAATAAGAATTAATGAGCACCAGGAAAACTTCCCAGAATACAGCACTTAAACACACACAATCCGCAAAATTTGGGTCTGTAAAGACCTAATTTTCTCTTAAGCACTCATGTTATATAGAATAGTTATACAAAAAAAGAGAGATTAATGATCCTTTGAAAGTCTTCCTATTTCTTAACTTCTGATTTTAAGATTGTATGAGTTCAGGTCTTCACAAGAAGAACTAATAGCTATTTCATTTGGTTTTGAGTTTTCATTTTGATTGTGTGAATTAATTGTATCCTCAAATAAAAGACAGAAAGAGGAAGAGATGAAGAGAAGGAGGGGAGGAAAGGAGGAAAGGAAAGAAGGAAGGAATGAAAGAAGGAAGGAAGGAAGGAAGGAAGGAAGGAAGGAAGGAAGGAAGGAAGGAAGGAAGGAAGGAAGGAAGGAAAGAATATAAAAAGCAAGAAAAAAAGAAACCATGAGGGGCATTCCAGGAGCATGATGTCAGATCACATATACCACACAGATATTACACATGTCAGCTGGCCAGCATCTCATCTAGCTCTACACTCTTCCACAGCTGATCCATGCATGGTGCTCCCATTTGCCTCAGAAGCTCCACTGAATCATACTTGGATCTACTCCATGAGATGGCAGAGCATGACAAGAAACTGCCCAAGGCTCAGGAGTCAGCATGCTGGTTTCAGTTCCACACACCTGTGCCACTACAGATTCTAGACCTATAAATATGAGAAAAAAAATTCCAATGTAGAGCCCTAGAACTTCTACAGCTAATCCTTTTCCACTCACCCTCAATCAAGATTCTCAATAAATTCTCCAGAAATGTTGCTTCCTCCCACTGTGGCCAGATTATTCAATTTCCATGAGAGTTCTTTAGCAAGTCCACTGTAGAGATCCTATGAGGGAAGAGGATTCAAGAACTGTTCAATAAAGCAAATAGAACAAGGATGGTTAAAGCAGTGAGGACTTCAGTTATAAAGTGCTTGGTAAGTTAAAATCAGCACCATATATTAGTTAACTGACAAAACACATGATCTTGTTAAATCACATATTAGAGATTCTACATGACATTGTAGAAAGAACCCTGGATTTGATACTTGATGGCCTGTATTTCAACCCTAGCTCTTCCATTTACTAATGGTGCATGCAGTTAGTTAACTAATTATGCAAGGCATTAAAATTCCTGGGTCTTAGTTTCTTCATTTGTAAAATGAAGGAGGTTAGGCTACCATTCCTTGAAAGGATAATTGCCAATCAATTGCCTTATGACTCTACCATCTCTGTGATTTCCTAGTCCAAACCCCTTTCCCTGGCTACCACTCTCTTATATGTGTTGTTTCCCCTCTTACTATGTAAGCTCCTTGAGAGTAGAGACTACCTTCCATTTGGGATTTGTATCCTTATCACAGAACCTGGTACATAATAATTCATTCATCCATTCATTCCAGCTCTAAAACCAAAGATTTTATGAGCAAGGAGATAGACATACACAAAATATGTGCATGTATGTGTATATATATAAACATATATGTGTATGTTTCATATACACATGCATATGTATATTGTATATAACATACACATATATTTACATATACATATATGCATGCATATATGTGTGTGTATCTATCTATCTATATACATATACATATACACATACATTTGTATATATATTGTGTCCCTACTCCTAGAATTCTGTTTTTTTCCCAAGGTGTACATGTATACACATATATGTGTGTATTTAGTAGGGACACAAGAAACTACCATCTTATTAGGACAGGTCTTCAGGAAGCCAATGTGCTCTGTCTATGAATGTGAGCCAGAGTGTATTGTAGAGTGCCTGGATCATCTAGTCAGAGAAAGAGAAGGAGTCTTGCTCTCTCTTGTCACCTGTAGAGATGCTACATTTACTAACCCTCTCCACTGCAGCTCATATTTACAATCAGTATAATTCTGATATCCTAAACAATCTAAAGCATTACCAAGGAATGGATAATTCCTAATCCAGATATCTCCCTTTCTGCAGTTCACACAATTTTGGCGAGTCACTGCCTTCAAAATATTTTTTTGTTGCGTGCTGATAGTGGAGAGAAGAAACGGAAGATAGAGCTCAATTGTGCACAAGCCAAGATAACATGATATTGAGCATTTTAACCATGTTGACTTAAAAGTATGGTGGCCTTCCTATAGCATCCTACAGTGAGATAAAAAAGAGATAAAGTTGAACTGCTAGAGATGAATAATCATACAGACTAATAAAAAAACCAATATGGCTAAAAACTTGATCTTTCCTGTATCTTTCTAAGATATGAGTGGTTCTGTTTGCCTGTATAAAAAAAATAGATTAATACAAACAGAGCATTTTCTTTTGGCAGAAGAATAACTGTTTTGTGTTATTTACCTAGACTACATCTGTGTTTCTAAAAAAGACTGTAAATACATTTCTGGAGTTCGATATATTTCTGTGATTATGTGAATAATGCCTTTTAAACTTATTAAAAGATTAGTAGAATGTTTTCAGGAAACTATCTTACTAATTATGCCCAATCAGTTGGAAGGTCACAAGATACCGATGAAAGGACATACTAAACATGTTCCCCCAGAATATTAGCACAATATTGGAGTCCTCCTATGAGACAAATGCCAACAAATGAATTGGAGATTAACTATTTCCCATATCCTTGCATCTCTAAAGACCAAACATGTTCCAAGCTAGGAAACCACCAAAAGTTATATTGGCTCTTAGACTACTTTGCAAATTTGGAACCAAAGGTAGGCCCTGAAACCAACTGGGCAGATATGATTTGGAAGCCAGTCTCACTGTCTGACATTTTCCATAGATCACAACAATACTTTCAGGCCTATTCCATTGCAAATAACTAGGTGGGCTCCATGACAAAGAATATTTCTACTCAGAAGTAGTATTTAGTTTAACTTTGGTCAAGGACCTTGAGGTAAACGAAAATGCAGATAGGATGAATAGAGGTCAAGAAATGGTATGTAGGTCTAGAGCTGGAAGTGATGGGGTGATGTGACCTGGACCCCTAAAAAGAAAAGACCATGTCTTTGAAAGCAACCCAGTCCCTGAATTTTCCCATACATTTCAGCAGTCCAGATCACTAACACCTCCACCCAAGGCAACTGGCCCACCTTAGCCCACCTAGATCACCTAATTAGCTTATTTGACATTCCTTTCACTGTAGCTCTTAGCCCACCCCAAACTACTTAAATATACCCACCACTCCTTAATCCCATCTAGGTCACCTAATTAGCCTACTTTATTAAGTCCTTTCACTATTGCACCTGGCCCACCCCGGACTATTTACCATTCCTTAATCCCATCCAGATCCTTTCACTGTCTGTTTTGTATATAAGCATCAGTCTTACTCCTATTAAGTTGCAGATTCCCTAAGAATCTCCCCCACACTACTGGCTAAAATAAACCTTGCCACTTTGACTGGAAGGTTTGAGTGAGTGAATTCTTTCCAAGGAGATACCACACTATACCCTGACATTTTGGGGTTCCCAGCAACCCCAAACTGGAAAGCATCTAACCCAAATTATTCTTTTTTGCAGATGAGGAAACTAGATCACAATGATGTTAAGTGATTTGTCCAAGCTCACCCAGGTGGCAAGTATCAGTACTAGGATTTAAATCCATATCTTATGCTTCCATGGGCAGGTGCCTTGCCTGGAGTCAGGAAGACAAGAGTTCAAATTCAGCCTGAGAAACTTCCTAGCTATGTGACCCTGAGCAAGTCACTTTGTTTGCCTCAGTTTCCTCCTCTGTAGAATGAGCTGGAGAAAGAAATGACAAACCACTCCAGTATCTTTACCAAGAAAGCCCCAAATGGAATCATATAGAATTGGAAAGGACTGAACAACTTATTCCTTCAAACCCAATACCCTTTTTATTATGCCACTCCCTTTCAAAAGCTATGCTATGCAAAAAGGAACTTATATTTGGGTTAAAAATAATCATCTTTTCAAGTACAAGGTGAAGGAGGCATGACTAGACAGCAGGTTAAGGTTGAAAAAATCCATGTTCTTGCTAATTCTGTCTTTGAATTTGAAGTACAGACCGGGGTGTGTCATTTCTCCTTAGAAGAATGAAAGTTTTTGGCTAGACCAAGTGGGCAAATGAAGCCAGTGGTTGGAAGTATGAAAAGTTAAAGAAGTGGAGAAATTGAGTTTAAGATTAAACTGACCCAGAGTGAAGGATCTGAGACAATCTGCTGGTAAGAAAACACTTGAGAACCAGGAAAGGAAGTGAAATGGCATCCAGAATGTGCTGATGGAGAAGAATAAAACTCAAGAAAACTGATTAAGGGACTGATTAAATCCCTTTAAACAGTAAAATGGCTAGTCAGAAGATTCCATGGGCATTCATGTATATATAGAGAGAGAGTAGTTTCATCCTGAAACAAAAACCCTAGAGCTCATGTAGGCTCAGAATCACATTCCTATAGGGACTTAATCCAGGAAGATTTCAGTGAGTGTAGGTCTGGGTGTCAGGGGCTAGACATACTCTGCTAAAGACTGAGAAGACCAAGTACTAGGTCAGTGCAATTCCACAAACATTTATTAAGTACCTAGTGGATATAGATCAGTGTGGTAGGTGCTCAGAGAAATACAAAACTGGGATATCAGCTGACCAAGAAGGAAGACTCTTCCTCTTTACATTCCCTTTTCCCCTCCAGGACAGTAACGTAGCTACTCATACCTGGACAAGCTGGGACTCACCAACCACAATTATTTTTGGTGAAGTGGGGGATCACTGGACTTAACCATCTGCCTTACCACTACATCTGCCATCTGACCTGCTAATGTACCATAAGGATACAGGGATTTTGCCATATTTTCTACCTCTGCACCCCTAGGAATTCTAGGTCTTCCCATCTTCCCTGACACTGAACTCTCTTACATGTATTGTCTTCTCCAATTCAGCCCTGTCTCACTTAAATCCAATTCACTTGCAAATCAAGACATCACCCTCCTGATGCCAATGGTCCTCTTCAAGAAGGAAGAATGAACAACACAGCAACAATCTTCAATTAAAGTGGGAGCCCCTTGAGAGCAGGCATTGTCTTGTTTTTCTGTTTTCATTCCCAGCACTTAGCATAGTGCTTGCAACACAGTACACACCAAATAAATGGCTTTCAATCATGTATAAATCACAGCCCCTTTCCTCATGTAAATTACAAAATAATCTAAATGTCAAGCTAAATAATTAGAATTTTACTCTGTAGTCAAAGGGCATCCTATGGGAAGTGTCAAACAGAGGAGTGATATGTCTGATTAATACAAAAGAAACATAATTTTGGCAACGATGCTGAGGATGTTATTTTTTTTTCTTTCTTCCTTTTTTTTTTTTGCTAGGCAATGGGGTTAAGTGACTTGCCCAGAGTCACACAGCTAGTATGTGTCTGAGGCCGAATTTGAACTCAGATCCTCCTGAATCCAGAGCTGGTGCTCTATCCACTGCACCACCCAGCTGCCCCAAACATTCTGAGGATGTTACAAAAGAGGGAATGAAGTAGGGATGGGAAGCCCTACTTAGGCTGTTATTACTTCCATATGTATTGTAGAGAGAGACTGAACTAAGATAGTGATCATGAGAATGGAAAAGGAGAGGGTATCTTGAGATCTAGGGCACAGAGAATGGAGAGAGAACCACTGGGGCAGGAGGAGGTGTTGTGAAACCTGAGAAGGAAGACGGAATTAGAAAGAGAAATTGTACCTAAAGTATGAGACATGGGATGTCGGTCACATTATTACAGGTCAAAGAAGAGAGAAGGAAGAAATTGGGAAAAAGTTATTAGGGCAGCCATGATTCTATAGATAGAGCAAATGGAATGAGAAGATTTATGTTCTCTTGCTAGCCATGACACTGACTAGT